GAGTTTTGTTTTTGAAGTACGCAGGTGAAGCTAGTGCCAAGAATGTCCAGCCCACCTTACAGCTGCTTCATCCTTGTGTTTCCTTTCACACATATGATGAGAAGGCTGACATTTTACAATGGACAAGAAGAAGAGGGGAGTGTGTGACACCTTAATGTCACAAATAATCGACTTGAGAACCTGTCAAGCTTTAAAAACATAAAAAGTCTCAGTACTACTGATTCAGCATGTCTGATGTACTGTGATGACACTCATTTTCACCCTCAAGAGCAGAGGTTCATAGTCAAACAAGAGATTTCCTATAATCTTTCCATTGAGTAGTCAGTGCATTGAAAAGCCTATCACAGATTTATAAGAGTTGTTTGCCACAAAATCTGGATATTAGCAGGAGGTAAGACTTAATTTTGTCAGCCTAATGTTTTACCTCAATCTCTACAGATTACAAGGTGCATGAAGAATGAAAGTAACAAAATCTTCTACTGAAAACATTGGTGAAATAGGTCTTAATCTGATTTTTTTTTCATGTATTTCAGTTAAGGCAAAGGAAGTTTACACAGAAAAATGATATTTTCTTAGGAAGGATGAGAACAGATTTATGCCCTGAGTTGATAGAGCAATGTCTTTGAAAATATTGAAAAATCTGCATTAAGAATGTATTGAGTTTTCTAGATGCTTGTCCCTGTGTTCCAGTCACACCTTGCTCATCCAAATTAGCTGCATGAGAAGAAGTACTTACACTTCTATGCCTTATACAAAGATATATCTTAGTTTCCTTCTTTCACAGATTTTGTGTATATATGTGTGTGGTTTAGAGATGGAACATCTGTGTATAACACTGCTCTCAGGGTGATAAATACCAAGAGACAATAATGTTTTCAGCAGACAGAAGAATATATAGAAAGTAATACAGTTGAAGCTAAAGATTCAGAATACTTTTTTAATGTTTTGACAATGAAGGAGGGAAAGAAAAGTATTCAAAAGCCAGCATCTGAAAACTGTTATGAGATTTTTTGTAGTTAAGTGAAATGCAATTAAAAGACATCTTTAATCAATATGACATCTGTTGACAAGTGAATAGAATTTAGTTTTAAAATTAGTTAAAAATAGATATGAAGATCACTGCTGAGTAAAAAGTCTTGTCAGGTAACTAAAAAAGAAGCTGTGTTTACGTGATATTAACCTAGATGAAAAATGTTCACAAACGTGTGAAAAGCAATTCATTGTCTGACACTGAGAGTACAGATGTGTGCCTGGAGATTACTATCAAAGACATGGGCATTACACTATAAACAAAATGTGCAAAGGAAGGTTTCTCTAGGATTTATTAGGTGTTAACCAAAGCACACTGATGGGCTGTGAGGAGAGGCAAGTGTATCTGCAGCAGATGTGTTAGATACAGTAGGATCCTGTTCACTGCTCCACTAAGAGTCTCTTGTGTTAGTTTCTGTGGCGGGGGAAAGCTTTCACTAAGTACCCACCTCAAATGTGTGGAGTTTGGAGTACATTTACTAGAAGCAGACAGAGCAAACGTACTGCTTTGGACTCTGGGCCCCAGAATCAGTCCTTAGAGAGTGAAAACAACTTGGTGATGAACTAATTTGCTAGCATAAACTGGTACCAAAGGCCATTTTTATTCATAGTCCCGGAAGGAATATGACCTAGGGAAGAACATAATTCTCGACTCTCAAACTCCTACAGCTGTTACTAAGCTGACACTGCTGATTTGTAGCTCTCGAAGGCTCAGTCCTGAAGTCACAAAGCAACAATATATTTCCAGCTGGTGTTTTACTGAGGCCTTAGTCCTACTGGAGAGCAGAGATTTCTGATGCTTCATTAATGCCCTTACAGCAAAGCAAGAAAGACTGCACCTCTTATAACCATTAAAAACCATGCACTCCTTGATGCTGGCCAACATTCAGGCTTGATATAATTCCTTACTCAGGTTTGATATAATTCCTTACAATACCAAGCAGTGAATTGGTGCATGCTGGAGATCTGGAACACCTGAAAGAGCCTGAGAGATCTTGGTGCAAGTGATAGAAAATAATCAATAAAATCTTAAGCGACAAAAAAAAAAAAATAATAGAAAAATGCATCAAAGTATTAATGTCTTTCAAAAAAGACAGACTGTACAGAAAGAACCAGTATGCTAAATTTACATCTGCAAGCATGTTTAAACAGGATTGATGTGCTAACCTAATGTCCAGCTGCTGTCAGAAGGGTCTCTCAACTGCAGAGCCCACCCCAGCTCCTGCCCATCAATTCCCATGAGCTCAAACACTCCTCTGGCATCTCACTAAGCAGACACTACTCCATAATTTGGCAGAGTATCATAAAAACATGAAAAGTCAATATTTTCTGAGTTGAATTGGCCTGGCAGAGATCAGATACATGGCAAAATGACTACTCGTCTAAAGTTAAGAAAGGACAGTGGGCAAAGCAGAGTGAAAACAGATGAGACTGCCTCTTTCAGTGGGAATCAAACAATTCTATCATCCTGGCCATATCAGCTTGATAGGTTTTCATATGCAAGCCCCATTCCTCTACTGAATTTCCAGAAATATATGCTAACCACAAAGTACCCCTGTTTTGAAACCTGGGATCTAATTATTGATGGATTTCCTTTTAGTTTGGTTTACAGGATTTCTGTTGATTTACAAAGATTATTTGATATAGACAGATACCTTTCTTCTTTGTGTCACTAAATACATTGGCATTAATTCTCCAGTCAGATCATTCAGAAATGAATGGTATCATGCACAAAATTGATGATTACCCAATATTTTCAAATCTGTTACTATTACTATGTTCTCTTATACTCTAGTTTCTCATACCACTACAGAAAAAAAAAGGAAAAAAAAAAAAGAAAAAAAAAAGAAAAAAAAATTTTAAAAATTTAAAACACAACCAAAACAGATTTTCAAATATTTTCTGTTCCCTGCAATAATTTAAATGAGAAATTAGACACAATAGAGATACATGGACTTACAGGTCATCAAGGTTTCCACAGATCAGTGCCAATCTGTGATGGAGTTAACCTTTGTATACTTTACATGGTATTGTAAGGTTGGCTGGTTTTCAATCAGTTGGCTCTTCTGAGCCATATGTGTCTATGTTAAATAGAATTTGTGGATTTTTCTTTATACTTATTAATTGCTGTCTTAGATTCAAACCTGGCGACAAATTCTGAGACAGTAACTACACTTGCAAAAATCCTCAATACCACAGAAAAGGAATAATGAGATTTTGAGAATTATTACAGATTATTTTACTGCAAGGCCTCCATCTGAAGGTATATGTATGTCATATACAGTGGGAAGAGTTTCAAAAACTACCATTGCTCTTGGTTCCTCAGGTGGTGTTCTCTCACTTCAGGTAGCCTTGCACTGAGGCTCAGAGATCCACATGCTGTTTGCACAGCCATTGACTGCAATGTACCTGGTGAATGAATTGTGGGGGAAAAAAACAGCTGCTTGCAATAATGCATGTCCCCAAGCTTTCTAGTCCTTTCAATAGATTATTTCTGTTGTTAAGCCTCTGTCCTCCGAGCCTTTTCATCTTAGATCATCACTGATAGACAGGAATGCATTTTATAGTGCTCTTGGAAATAACTTCCATAAGTACTTCCTCAAAGTGTTGGTGATTGTCATAAATGAAAAAGTCTTGGTGGAATTTACTAGTTTGGAAAGTACTAGCACAGCTAGTTGGGTCAAATATATTTCAGGTTCTTTTACTTCAGACTTCAATAGGAAAAAAAAAAAAAAGCTCTATTTTTTTAATCCAGATGTCAAAGAATTGCTTACGAAGTGCATAACCTTGACACTGTTTATTTAGAAAGTTTTTAATTAAAGTTGGTATTCAGAACTTCCTGCCAGCAGCTGTTGAGCAGTGATTTCACTAGTGGCACTGACAGTTTCAGGGCCTAAATCTGAGAGACAGGAAATCAGTCTGCTGCTGTATGCAGACTTGTAGTAGAGGGTTTGTTAAAAACATATACACACATCCTAACTAATTTTTCAAAAATACTTCAGTGTTCCAAATTAAGAAGTAAGTTACTTACAGGCTTTCAGGATTAGAACTAAAGCCCTGATGCAATCCCAGATGAATTTAATTCTTTCTACAGCTTTAGAGGTGCTTTATATATGGGTGAAAATCAGGTGAAGGAGGTGACAGTAAAAAGATTGTGCTACAAATATTTCATCATATAAATTCACTTAAGAATTTGCCCTCTTTTTTTGTGTTTCAGTTTTCAGTAGGTATTTGTGCAGTCAAGTTCAACTGGCTCGAAATCTATAATATTAAAAAGAAATATCTTTCAAGTTACATCCAACTTGAAAATCCTAAGACGAACTATCTTTCGTATTTACTGTAGAGCAACAATATGATGTAGCATACATAGAGAAAAAGAACATCTAATACTAAAATTGTGGTTTTGTGCTTTTAAACACAAATCTTTAACAATCTGCCATTATCTTCTGCCTGTCCCTTCCTGTGATTTCCTCATCCATCAAAATGCCACAGACTCTTTCACAAAAAGCTAAAATCTGTTACTTTTTATGTGAATCTGACACCATATCCTTGTGGTCAGTGTAAGACAGTCAGCAAGTCAGCACTTTACATGAGCATGCATATCCTTTGCCAAATAAAGGGGGGACTAACAGCAGACTAACAGTCTGCTAATTTGTGAGATGAGGTTAGCACTTTAGAAATCAACCCCCTTCCTCGGCCTAATGCAAATAAATCAGTTATAGTCATTTCAGTAAAGATGAAAGAACAGTATTTTGACTGTCCCCTTCTGTCCCTCATGAAGGCTGAACAAACCACAGTACCTGTATATTTATTCTGCCTGAGGAATGTAAGCCAAGCAGCAAATTGAAGGACACATCTCTGCTTACATTCCACACATACACATGCCAGGATATGACTTGCTTTCAGTGTAGTTCTGTGAAGCCACACATTTCAGAACAGTCACCTGAGTTTTACAAAGATACGATTCATACCTGCCCTTGGGGGGCATATGAAGCCAGTTCTCTTGCTGACAAGGCTGCAGCAACATCTCATCTATTTGAAGTTCTTGACATCCTTTTAAGGTCAGGAGAAGGAGATGGGTTTGGCAGCTCCACGTGGCTCCCACACTGTAGGGTCTTGTTTATGCTAAAACATTCTTGCTGCCTAATTTCTGCACTTTTGATGTGGTCAAGTGCACAGTCAGAAAACCGTGGTGACTCCTATCAGATGATTTCTAGGGATCAAAGAAACAGGATCACTTTGAGACAGAGAACTTTTGAGAAACAGAAACTGAGGCAAGAAAGCAACAATAATTTTCTTAATTTTTTTTCCCCATAAGGTGCTTCACATACTGTTTTTTAACTCACATCAACCCCTGACCCCTGCAATATTTTTCTTCTTCAATTGCGAACAAAAGTAGATCAGTCCTTCAATATTTAGATTCCAGATGAATATTCAGTAGTGGGTGAAACCTGAAAATATGAAATCAGCAGATTAGGTCCAAGACTTTCAAAACATATCACCACCCAGTGAACTCATCCTTAAAACTATGCTTCAATTCAGTACACCTTTGCATCCTTAACAAGTATCTGTGTATAAAAGTTGCCTGATCCCAATACATAAATGAACTTTAGTCTTCTAGTGCTTGCGAAAGCCTACAGAGACTCAGTCATCAGAGGTTGCTCCCTGACCTAGAGCTGCCTACAGCTTTAGCTCCCATTACTTTTTCATGAAAGTTCTCACTTAACATTATGTGAATAGAATGAAATGTTTCCATTAAAAGTCTCTGAAAACATATGTTTAACAGGACCTGCTGTTCCTATCTTACTACATTGTATCAGTCAGTAGAAGAGCAAAGATCTTGAAGGATGTTTCCTGTGTATTTTTGAAGCAGTTTGGAAGGTGTAAGAGCCTGGATGAGAGATGCGGGACTCCAGGCGGCTCTTCCAAATGCAGTTTATTATGTGCAAGACTGCTATCTTTCTGCTTGGTAAAAACATCTTCTTGTTTGAGGTGGGTTTATCCTTTGTTCCAAGTCATAAAAACCCCCTTCTAACTAACATACCCTTTGCCTCCTTGGTTAGCCAGTAAGACTGGCTCAGCAATTATCTTGTTCTATATCAAAACTTGCTTCCATCTCTATTCCTTCCTCAGCTTCTATATTCAAAAATCATTCTGCTAAGCATACATGTCTGTGAGACTTTCTTGTCAAATTTTCATCCTTCCCAACAGGAAGGTGTTGTTTTATTTTGTTGCCACCATTGATTGAAGGCTCTCTGTCTCTCCATCTCCAGTTATATCCTGCTCGTGTTCTGAGTTTTCAAAGAATAAAGCCTTGTAATGGGAAAATAAGATCCAGAGATTATTGCTGTTATGCTCATGGAGAAAAAGATGTTCAGCCTTCTCTTTCTGATCAAGGGAAAATGCTCTACTTAAAGAATACATTGATTAAGGAAATGCCTAGTCTTTGTAGGACTGATTATGGTTTTACCTCTGTGTTGGAGCAACAGGGTGAGGTTTCATGAGGCTTACAGTGGGGAGCTAATATGTCTTAGTGAGTTTTATAATACCTGCAGGGCAAAGAGGGAGTAAAGGTTTTGGGTTTTTTTTCCCTTCAGCATTTGAAATAGTTTCCAGCCAAATTAGACTGCAAAGCAGAGGTGGGGTGGTGAGAGCCATGCAATGTTGAGGAATTAGTTTAGTGAGATAGGCTTACATAACTGAACTATGAGGTGTCTTGAAGTGGTGGATGAAAAGGTCAATGTGCCTGGGAGAAGGGGGACAAAGGTTCTAGTGGAAAATGGTGGGAATCTTTTCTGAATGATTCCAAATCTACCAGTCTTTGGGATCTTGCCCAAAGAGTATTCTGGAACACCACCAACTGCTAGTTTCTTAACAGCCTCTGCTCAAATCTGGCCTCTGCTACTGGACAAACCACTCAGCCTTCAGTAGACCAAGGTAAGTGACAGCTAGGTATTGTGATCTGGGGAACACTCTCAGAGAGTTCAAAAACAACCTTCAAACTTACTAAAGATTAATAGAAAGAAATAAAAATATTTAAGAACTACACCAGCCTCCATGCTGAACTTAACAAATAACAGATTAAATTTCATTAAAAGTGGGGAAACTTATGCAGGAGGCAATACTGCAGCAAAGAATCTCTTTCAGAATTAAAACAATTAGAAAAGCATTCTAGTTTTATATGAATGTGTATATGTGTATATATATATATATAAAATACTACTAATGTAAGGCAATACAAATAACGTATAAAAATAGTAATCTGAGACAACTTTTATGGATTTTTTTCCACTTTGACAGACACAGATAGTCACAAATATTTATAAATGTACATAGATATTTATAAATTTTAAATATAAACAAAAATATTATACTTTCCTCAAAGGGCATTTTTTACTTCTCAAGGAAATCTTTTCTAAGGAGCTAGAAAACTGATACTTAAGAAACAATGGAGAAAGAATAAACACATGCAGGATGATGGTGAGGTGGAGCAATGTCTTGGAGATATATTTAACTAATCTTTCCGTTTTTTGATGTTTTTCTTTATTGTGGGTTTAGGTTTTTGTTTTTTTTCAAAGATATCTACTAGGCAAAGACAATTCCATTATCTCAATTCACATCAAACAAATAACTAAAAATAAGATTTCTGAATAGAGAAAATGATGTAATATTTGGAAGCAATCCTGTTGTTGACTTTTGCTGGGAGAGGCAGTATTCAGGGTGAGTGGTAGATAGTGCTTTGGAACTGGATCAAGTCGGCAAACTTTCCATTGGAGCTGTTGAACACCCTTGTTCTGCTTTATCTCTAATCTCAGCAGGCAAGTAGCTCCTCCACAATCACTAAAGGGCTTACTCTGTGTTCAGATCATCTCTATGAGGTAGCTGTCCTTTCCAGATTTGGATTCTATTTCACTGCTCTCACATGGTTCTGACTATTCCATTACTATGCTCAATGGTGAAACACAACAACTTTGATGAGTAATTTCTACATCTTAAATTTCAACATATGCTGTTTCAGCAACACAATTTTTAAATATCTGGAATCAATATTCCACAAGGAATCCTCAGACTTTTTAAAATGTATTTTTACCGGAACATTCATATAAGAAACCCTAAATAAAAATAAAAATAAAAAAAAGATCCAGTGATAGTTAATCAAAGTGTCATTAAAACTGATAATGCCACTAGCTTAAGCTCATAAATGCAAGGGAACAAATTCTCAGAGAAATTTGCCAGTCTTTCAGTTTATGATAAACTTCCTACCTATTCTTTCTCTGTCTCAGACTTTCATTCCCATTGCCCTTTCAAGTAGGAGCCAGAGCCAAGCCTAGATTCCAGCATCTGGAGCTGATGTCACATCTGTTTAATAATCAGACCAAGGTTTTTCAGGTCTACGAAGTGTCTGAAGCATTAAAATGTATTTATAGTTTTAAAGTGATGATCTTGCATAATGAGAATTACTGTGGGAAGATGGTCCTATCAAACTAATACAACACTGTAAAAATTTGCCAGATGAACCCACTTTGCACTAATGGGGTTTTTTTCATATACATACACCCATCCCCTCTGTACATTTAAGTGTATTTCTGTATGTTCCAAGTAAATACCATTCTTTTCAAGGCACCACTTTTTTTTTTTACTGTGAAGACACCTAAAGCTTCAAGCATCCCTTTTAAGTGTGTATTGCCAGAGCTCCAGCACCTCATTGCTGTTTCTTAGAGCACCTCATTCAGGTACCTGTGCTGCCCACTGCTGTATTGAGGTACATATTCCAGGAACCAGGAGTGCTCCAAGAACTTTTTTTATCTAGGGGAATGCCAGTGACCTTAATTCTAACCCATCTGAGATGTGTGACAGTCTAGCACTTTTCTAGACTAATTAGCAATGTTTTGGAGACCGGTCAATAACTTCCTTTGCAGATGATTAAGAAGTTCTCAGGTAATGTCAGGGAGGGGAGTTCATTTGGCTGAGAAGTTGATTTTGGTCCATTATTTTACATTTGAAGCACCTCATCATAAATTTCTCCACTAGGCTGACATTTTAGATTGCACCAATTATTCTTGATAGCTGAAGTTATCTGCATTAAATCATTAAAGCAGTCACGAGTAGCAATATATGCTTTTACCACATAGAACAAAAAAATAACAGTATTTTTCTAGTAGTAAATAAATCATCAGGAGACTGGAGACACTATTTGGACTTCATAGACCCAAATTTGCTTCAAAGCTCTTCATTAAAAAAAAGAACAAAAAAAAGTTTAAGAAACACTTCAGCAGAATTATTCAGATTAATTATCTCTGTTCCCTCACCTTCAATTTTAAACTTCTATGAATATTGGGAGAAAAAAAAAGAAGTGAGTTTTCAAAATTAGTGTTGCAATAAGCGATTCTAAGAGTGACAGCTGTATTGTTTTTTGCCTGTAGGTCAAAAAAGATAGAAAATCTATTGTCTTTGAAGTGCAGACTTTTTTCAGTACTGGATATCATTATTATTATGCTTTCATGACTTAGTTTTTCTCAAGTTTTGAGGCTGTATACATTATAATTTTAACAAATTTATTAAAAAATACACTTAAGTTTCCCAATAGATAATTATAAAAAGTTACTCTGACCTTTTATTCATGACTCATGTTACCAAGCTGTCCATTGTGACATAGTTTAAAATCAAGTTTATTTTCCAGTTTGATTTGGTACTTAAAAACAACAAGACTTATGAGACCTGACCTCTATTACTATCTTTGCTCTATGCTAGTTTGTAACTTTACATTCATACCCTTTCTTCTCACATGTTCAATGAGAAGGTGCAGAAATAAAGGAGAATATTCACACAGTGCAAAGATAAGATATAAATTTATCTCTCCTGGACTACTTCTTTATTCTGACTCCATTTTGCAAACTGTAAAATGTGAAGTTAGTATTAATCTAATTGCAGGACTTGAATGATTACTACCTTAGATGTAGGAAACTTCAACAAAAGCTCTACAGTAGAAAAGTAAATCACCTTTTTTCCTCAGTTCAGAGTGAGTCAAGCAGCATGACTTGAGATAATAATTTTATGAAACATGTTAAAGGTTAAAATAAAATTATTTTACCACTGGCCTCTCAATGGGCTTTACAGTCTGGCTAAAAATACTGGAGATCTAAAAATCAGCTCATTTTGCATTGAACTGAAATAGCTGAGGATTTACACAAAGAGAAAAGAACTTAACAAACAAGTATTTTGGGAAGTTTTATGTTCTTTCAAATGGGAAAAATATTTGAAATTGAATGAAGCATTTTGCTCAACAAAAGTGTAGTGTTTATTTTTAATTTCATGTTAGTTAATGCTTTTTTCTAGCCTTCTTTTTAATTTCAGTCACATTGAAATGAAAAGTACACCTGTGTAAAAAGAAGGTTGAAATGCTTCATTTAAAAACTGTCAAAACAACATTTCTACATCTCCTTTTTTATGC